TGGCGAGGATGTGGGGAAAAGGCACACTCATACATTGCTGCTGGGACTGCAAATTGGTGCAGCCAATATAGAAAGCAGTATGGAGAWTCCTTGGAAAAGYGGGAATGGAACCACCATTTGAYCCAGCTATCCCTCTCCTCAGTCTTTACTCAAAGGACTTAAAAACAGCATACTACTGGGAAACAGTAGTTTATAGCAGAATAATTCTGTTATGCTGTTTATAGCAGCATAATTCACAATATCTAAACTGTGGAACCAACATAAATGTCCATCAGTTGATGAATGGATAAAGAAAATGTGGTATATATACATAATGAAATACTATTCAGCATTAAAAGAGAATAAAATCATGGCATTTGCAGGTAAATGGAAGGAGCTGGAGAATATAATGCTAAGTGAAGTTAGCCAGTCCCTTATATCAGTCTCTGATATAAGGATGCTGATTCATAATGGGGTTGGTGGGGGAGCATGGGAGGATTACACAAACTTTAGATATAGCAAAGGGGAGCATGAGGAAGGGAGCAAGCATGGGAGTAGGAAAGACAGTGGAATGAGATGGATATCATTACCATAAGTACATGTATGAAGACATGAATGGTGTGATCCTTCTGTACAACCAGAGTTATGAAAAATTATGCATTATATGAATTGTATATCATTCTGCTGTCACATATAACAAATTAGAATTTTTAAAAAATGACTGGGGATGAACTTAGTAGTAGAATGCCAATGGATCCAATCCCCATTACCACAAAAAGAGAGTTATATTCTGTTTTACTAGTTGAGTCAAGAAGATATGGACAGGGGTTGGGGTTGTAGCCAGTGGTAGAGTGCTTGCCTCACATGTGAGGTATTTGGGTCCAATCCTCAGCACCACATAAAAATAAATAAAGGTATTGTGTATATCTACAACTAAAAATATTTTTAAAAGAATCCTGACAAAAAATGTCATTTTTTCAGATTGAATTCAAAGTAGAAATAACCTATATGCTACCTACAATAAAACATTTAACTATGAAGACAAAACTAGGTTATGAGTAAAAGTATGGAAAAGATATAAGCTGGGCATGGTGGTACATGCCTGTAATTCCAACTCAAAAGGAAAAAGCAAGATGATCCCAAGTTTGAGGCCATCCTCAGCTATTTAGCAAGACCCTTAGCATCTTAGCAAGACCTGTCTCAAAATAAAAAATAAGAAAATTTCTATTTTTTCTATCTTTTTTTTAAAAGAGAGAGTGAGAGGAGAGAGAGAGAGAGAGAGAGAGAGAGAGAGAGAGAGAGAGAGAGAGAGAATTTTGAATTTTTAATATTTATTTTTTAGTTCTCGGCGGACACAACATCTTTGTTGGTATGTGGTGCTGAGGATCGAACCCGGGCGGCACGCATGCCAGGCAAGCGCACTACCGCTTGAGCCACATCCCCAGCCCCAAGAAAATTTCTAAATATCATTTAGAGACAAGGTCTCACTAAGTTGCTAGGGCCTCAYTTAGTTCCTGAGGCTGAATTTGAACTCGGGATCCTCCTGCCTCAGCCTCCCGAGCCGCTGCAATTACAGGTGTGTGCCACCGTGCCCAGCCGAAATGAACAAATTTCTTGAAAGACAAACTACCAAAACTCTCTCAAGAAGATATGGATAGGGGTTGGGAGTGTAGCCAGTGGTAGAGAGCTTGCCTCACATGTGAGGTACTTGGGTCCAATCTTCAGCACCATATAAAAATAAATAAAGGTATTGTGTATATCTACAACTAAAAATAATATTTAAAAAAGAAGATATGGACAATTTAATAACCTTTTAATCCATTTGAAAGATTGGAAGTGTAAMCACTACTAATAATACTTTTATTTCTTCAAAGAAAACTCCAGGTAAACCAGATGCTTGTGTTGCAGAAGGATCATAAGTTTTAGGCCAGCCTTGCCAACCTAATGACACCTATCTCAAAACATAAATGAAAAGAGCTGGGCTGGGGATGTGGCTCGAGAGGTAGGGCGCTCACCTGGCATGCATGCGGCCCAGGTTCGATCCTCAGCACCACATATAAACAAAGATGTTGTGTCCGTCGAAAACTAAAAAATATTTTTAAAAATTCTCTCTCTCTCACTCTCTCTTTAATAAAATAAAATAAATAAATGAAAAGAGCTGGAATGTAGAGAACCCCTGGGTTCAATCCCCAACACCACAAAAACAAAACTAAAAAAATTATTGTGTTCTACAACCAAAGCCTCTGACTATAAAAATATTTACCTCTTTCATTAAATGAAAACAATCATTTCAACAGTTTCCTACTGAGGTATGAAAATACATTCACTTAATAACAAATATAACAACTTTGAAATGTAAACTTACTATTTTCTAAAAAGTATTTTCAGTGACTCTAGAAGCAATTTATACTATAATGTATTCATACTGGCTGACATGAAAAAATGTGGAGGACAGAAGCAGTCAACCACAGTGGTGAAACTAGTAAAACAGAATGAGACCTATGGTTATTAGTTGACAATGATTTTTTTTTACATTTTTTTTTGGTAGTTGTAGATGGACAACATGCCTTTATTTTATTTATTTTTATGTGGTGCTAAGGATGGAACCCATTGCCTCACAAATGCTAGGCAAATGCTCTATCCCTGAGCTACAGCCTCAGACAATGATCTTAATTTGGAGAAAGGTTTACCATTCAAGTAGCAGTAAAGAAAGGCTGGCATTCAGAAGTCTGAAAGTAAYACTAGAGAAAAGGATGTGGTGAAACTCTACCATCTTTTCTTCCTCAACATCTGTACATCATGAGATAGGCAATGTTATAACTGTGAAAAAAACATCATAAGCTGGGTGTGGTGGCCCATACCTGTAATCCTAGCAACTCAGGAGGCTGAACTAGGAAGATTGCCCTAAGCAACAAAAAATAAAACAAAGACATGAAGATCATAAACTTATCTTGCATTAACCAACTACTAGTTTAAAATTTATTTATCCAAAAATTGGTTAATGTGGAATAAATTTTAGTAATCATATTTCTGTATCATATAAAATTGTTAGATCTTTTTAAAAACAGGGAAATGTAATTAGAAAAAATTTAGCTTTTTCATTAACAAATGCTAATTTCCACTTATAAATACTGAAATTTGGCCAACTTTTAGATGGCATATATGTAATACATCTTGGATATATGAACAGATATTTATGATAATTCAGTCATTACTTGTACTATCATATAAGTTAATTATTTTGTTATTTTAAAATATCCATAATTAGGAAAGCTTTTGCCTTCAATATTTTGGAAAACTAATACTAGAAAATATATAAATTTTTCCCCAAATTATGCTAAAAAAGGAAAAAATTAATAAAACCCAGCTCTAAAAACCAATGAATGAAGTTATGAGAAAGTGAAAACAAAGACAAGTTTTAATGACATCTATACCAACCTTTTCCAAGTCAAGGAGACAGGCCTCAGAATGAGACCTATACTGCTTAGACCTTGATCTTGAATTTCTAGTCTCCAAAATTATGAAAAAATAAAATTTCTGTTGTTTGGGCCATAAAACATATTTTAATGGCATCTCTTTTACTGCAATATTTTGCAGTGTATCATCTTTTAGGCCATTTATTATCTGTAATTTCAAGGAGGAATTACATCTAATATGTATTTAACAAACAAGTTAAAATTCAAAGAATAATGTATTTGCTACTTTAACATTCTATTTTTTCTTTTTGGCAGCACTGGGAATGAAATTCAGGGCCTCATGTGTGCTGAGCCAGTACTCTAYCACTGAGCTATATTATGCTTGTTATATTTTAAAAGGAAGAGGAAGAAACAAATGTAACTTATTTAAAGCGTTAGAGATTATAAAAGTTTTTTCTTAAGTAGTAAATGAAGGATAATCTTAATAAAATGTAGATACTTAAAAAGATTTTTTTTTAAGACAGTGCCTTGCTATATTGCCCAGGGTGCTCTCAAATTCATGGGCTGAGGAGATTCTTCCACCTCAACCTCACAGGTAGTTGGGACCATAGGAATGTGCCAGTATGACTGGCTAAAATATTTTTATTAGAATATTTTGTAAAATCAATGCACTTGTATAGAAGGGATATCAAATCTCTTAATTAACCTTTTACTAATTGAACCATTCATCTGTTCATAGTACACAGAGAAAGGTTTTTTTTTTTTTTTTTGTACTTGGGATTGAACTCAGGGTCACTCAACCACGAAGCCACATCCCCAGCCCTATTTTTTAGAAGGGGTCTCACTGAGTTGTTTAGGGCCTTGCAAAGTTGCTGAGGCTGGCTTTGAACTCAGAATCCGCCTGCCTCAGCCTCCTGAGTTGCTAGATTACAGGCATGTGCTACAGTTCCTAGTGTTCATTTCTTAAAATCTGTCCAARAATAAAAGGAATCTCTTAATGCATTAGTTTCATTAACTATGCTTTGCTTTTCCAAGCATTTCAAACTTAAAGAAATAAGACAAGACATCCAGGTGCTTTAAAATCCAAGGCCTTTAATTCAGTTTTGGTAATGACCAAAATGCCTTCACAAAATCTCTTTTGGACTATAAATAGAAGGCACTCTAGGCATTACTTAATACCCTTAAAGCAGTGATTCCTTCTGATGCTGGTGGACAGAAAACATTAAATGGCAGGGCTTAGATATTAACAAAGTCTTCTAAAAAAAACTCTGAAAATCACACAAAAAAATTACCAGTCTTTCTCAGTTTCCAATGAAACTTTAAGTTATTCTTACAAGTACATAATTTGAAATTAAAGAGATAAACTGTGTGAGTATAATGTTTTCAAACATGTTAAGTTTCAGTTACATACAGTAAATGAGGACACCATTATCATGCTAATTGGCATCTTTTGCTACTCTTTAGCTGTGCAAAATAAACTTGAAATGACACATCCTGTAGTGGTATAATTTAAAAGATCCTTGATATGACACTAATGACTCAAATTCTGGTCACAAACTGTATATAAATTGTAAGATTATTAAAATACACCTTTTTGAAAAATAATAAGATGACCATTTATACCTAAATAAAATTTCCAAGAAAGTTATGAAATACTTTAGCATAAAAAAGTAGTTGCCCCTTTTCTGAAAGGTCAACTGTAGTTTCACAAAATAACCCCTATGATGCTAGGCAAATGAGTTCTTCCAAATGCCATACTCTAGACGTAGAGGTATGCTTCAAGATACTGCATCCATGAGGAAAGGGCACATCTGGGTATCGAACCACAGTAGACCAACTTACAAACACAAGGAGCCTTTCTTAGGTCAGGAATGCCCTTTAGAATTATAGCAACAGAGAACAAGAGATAGCTTCTGAAGTCACTTCTTTTACAAATACATACAACTATATTTGGTAGTTGAGAGGGTAATTAAGACACAGCTATTTACATTTGTGCTACATCATGTGTGCCTATTTTAAATAGTGGCTTCTGTAGGATATTCTCATTCAAACACAAACCAATCTTACTAAACTAAATCACATTCTTCTTTTTTGGCAAGGTAGTATAAACAAAAGAGAAATAACAACAACAAAAAAAAAACCATAGTAACCATAACATTGATTCAAAACAAAAGTTCCCATGTTAAACAATAGGAAGAATGTTCGGAGAAACATTAGTTTTGGGGAAATAACACTACCCAACAAATAATGCTGGAAATCAACCTTATAATCACTCAAATAACTATCGAATAAAAGGCTTATGAATGCCTTTGAAATAATAATACTTCAGTTTTAAAAAATATTTGATTATGAGATTCATAATTAGAATTATCTTTGAAAAGCATCCAAGCTTATTAATTTACACAGACCCAATGAATAAAGAGTAAAGGAAAATAAAGTCTTCCATAATTAATACTAGATGCCTTCTTGCCTCTGGAGAAAGTGGTAAGATTACATTGTGAAAATAGTGAAGAAAATAATGAAATAAAAACCTATATGACAATTGAAAAAAACCACCATGCCTTCTAATAAACATTTTTAAGCATTGATTAGTCAATATAATCCTTCATAAAATTATGTTTCATAATCAAATAAGAAAAAGCCTCAAGAGTAGCAGCTGGACTTTGTGAAACATGAAGGACAACGAAAGGCACTACATAAGCATCAACTATAGTTGGACAGTTCAGTCTTTTCCTTCTTAAGAAGATAGCCAGTGTGAATGTTATTTTTATAACCCCCTGAGTTTTAACATGATTGGGCAAAGCAGCACCAATTTAAAAAAAATATCTGCAATGCCAGCACTGCAGTTTGGAATCACGTATACCGATGGCCCCTCAGGTCTCTCATAAGAGCACTTTAGAACATGATTAAAAATATAGAACTGCCTTTCGGTGTTTCAGTATTAAAGTGGAACCACCACAGATATCCATTTTTAAAAATAATGCAATAAAAAGTTCTGTTTATACAATACAGTCTTTCCACCCTGTATCTTAGCATTCACAGCTATTTTCCACTCTGCTGCCACTGGAAGATCTTTGTGCGTCTGGTTGAAATGTCAGTATGCTTCATGATGCACAATCCTTTTTGGCTGGAAAATATCACGTCATGCCTGTTTTGAGCAGTATGCCTTGCAGGTCCTCTGGCAATGCTAAGATAATTGCATCTATGTGTGTCCGTAACTTTTCCATAGTGTCAGGTTTCACAGGTAAATGCTCTCGATCAGCCTGCAACTACAACATTTGGCAGCATTTAAATGGATCTTTATTAATATATTATGATCTCTATATAAACAGTCTTAACAGTCTAACAACTTGGAAACTTTCAGTCTTTTTGTTCCCCTTTTTTTTGGTACTAGGGTATTTTACCCCCAGCCCTTTTTATTTTTTGGGACAGGGTCTTAATAAGTTGCTTACGACCTCACTAAGTTACTCAGGCTGGCCTTGAACTTCAGATCCTCCTCTCTCAGCCTTCCAAGTTACAGGGATTACAGGTGTGCACCACCAAGCCTAGCTGGAAACTTTCCATCTCAGACTAGAATTTACAGAAACTAAAAAATCAAAGAACATGCCATTTAAAAAAATACATGAATAAGYCAAAAAAGGGCTCCTATATAAATTCACAGATAAAACCTAGATATACTACATGATATTAAATATAAATGGCAATGTTTTTGTAGAATTCATTAAATTCATGTAAAAATCTTTAGAATAATATGGCATCTCTATGATCTCCMCGAGTGACCAAATATTTTTGTTCAGATCTACCATCAACAGACCAATCTCAAATCTTCTTATTTTAAGTTACATCTGTGATACATCATAGAGCATTAGCTCAAATAAGAGGAAAATATCTTCACACACCAATTTAATCTTCAGCTGCTTTGGCTACATACCAGCTTATTTTTCAGCTTCAGTACAAGGTCTACTATTTCTACTTCTGTGTGTTTCTGGATCCAGAGAAGTAGGTCCTARAACAATAAGCAAATCCCAAATCAGTATGTACTCAATATTCAAACCTCTTTATTTTAATAGCCAAGGCTAATGCAAAAGAAGGAAAAGAACTGTATTTAACTCATATATACCATTACAATATAAGAATAATTATCATAGTATTCTAGAAATTGTTCGTTAGGTAAGTTTTGACATTAGTTGGAAAAAAGTTTATACTATTTGGAAGTAAAACAAAATGGAAGAAAGTTCCTTTCTGAGATAGTCCTTTTAGGTCAACCAACMAACAGACAACTAAAACACAAAATTGTGGCTGGACACAGGGGCATATGCTTGCAATCCCAGTAATTTGGGAGCCTAAGGCAGGAGGATCACAAGATCCAAGGCCTGCATCAGTAATTTAATGAAATCCTATCTCAAAACAAAAATTTAAAAAGGATAGGAGATGAAGCTCAATGGTAAAGCACCCATGGGTTTAATTTTCAGTACCAAAAAAAGTAAAAATTGTAGCTCAATGCAATATTAAATTCCTTTCCCATACCAATAAATAATTTATAAGAAATATTAGTAGCTGGATGTAGTGGTGCACACCTGTAATCCCAGCGGCTCAGGAGGCTAAGACAGGAGAATCGCACATTCAAAGCCAGCCTCAGTAATGTCAAGGTGCTACGTAACTTAGTGAGACCCTGTCTCTAAATAAAATACAAAATAGGGCCGGGGATGTGGCTCAGTGGTCGGGTACCCCTGAGTTAAATCCCAGGTACCAAAAAAAGGATATATATATATATTGATTAACAAATCAAGAAAGCTGAACATGAATGTATTACTGGATGTAAACTTTGTATCTTCAAATAAGCTCTCCTGGACTTACTTTGTTGTTTTCTTCATTCTTTTTCTCAGAGCCAGAATCACTGGGAATTTATGATTAGAAAGAAAACACTGAGGCTAGGCTGCCTCAATATTTAAAGCTAAATACAAAAGAAAARTAAGACTATATATTTTCACAAGTAGTTCAATTTAAAATGGGCTGGTGGTAAATTATACTGTATGAAAAACCAATCCAAGCCATGAAAAATTTGTTAATACTGAGTGAGAAAGATGAAAAGATGGAAAAGATCTGAAGTTAGATGGCTTGAATCTGAATCCTAACTCCCTCCAGTTGCTGATGAATATTAAGCAACCAGTTCTCCAGAAAAAGTCTTTATAGTATTTGCCAACTGTATGCAATTTCAAACTACCAACCTGAAGTCACTAAATGCTTAACTAGGAAAAGATGTGCACAATTAGCTCTTATGGACAAATGCAAGTGGACTCCAGAGCACTGCTGGCTCTGCTACTTAGTGGTGATGTGAAATTAAGACAAGTCACTCAAGTTCTAAGCCACAAGTAAAGATCCTAACATGCCTACCTTGATGAATTGTGAAGATTAAAAAAGGAGTACCCATATAAATCATCTACACACAGTCCCTGTCACAAAGTATATAATCTAGAAAAGTTAAATATCATTGCTATTTATAAAGATGCAGACGTGGGCATTATCTTCAACCTCTAAAGATAATTTTATCTTTACTTTTAATAGTTGTTAGTCATCACACAAACACACTTTTTCTACCTCTTCACAAAGAGCTTCTAGATGGAGTGCCTCTAGTTTTTGAGTCATTTCTTTTCGCCGAGTCTTGAACCAGCCATCAAAATTTGGAGACTTTAGAAAATGCCTATTAAAAATAAATGCAAGAAGCAAAGTTTGACTATGACTTATTTCCTCTCTTTAGTACATTTCTTATCTATAATTCAGAAAAACATTCCAAATAATAGAATTTTCTAAAAAGAATGTATAAGGCCCATTTTTTATTTTGTTTTCTTTTAAAAAAAGCTCTACAGATGGAGGGAAAAGACTAACCTGTAAAGTCCAATCCAATCGCCTTTTATTCTAGAAGTTAGCTGAGGTCCTGTTTTCTCAAGTGTTTTCATAAATTCTTCTGGAAGGAACTGTCTTAATTGGGGTGGACTCTACAAAACAAGATATACTATTTTAAAAAATTAGAAATGGATACATTCAGAGAAGTTAATTATAATTACAAAATTTAAATAGGAATTTATTTGGATATATTCATACCTTCCATGGAGAGATACTTTTCTGCAAAGGCATCAAGCTTGCCACATACCTTTCCTAAAACCAAAAAATAAGTTAATAACTGGGGTTGTGGCTCAGTGATAGAGTGCTTGCCTACCATGTATGAGACACTGAGTTCAGTTCTTAGCACCACATATAAATAAAGAAAATAAAGTCCATTGACAACTAAAAAGATATTTWAAAAAAATAAGTTAATAAAAGTTAGGCATTCTTACCTAAAGGTCTTCTGGGGACAGGGGCAGCAGTTACTAGGAATTGAACCTAGGAAGCACTCTACATACAGCCACATCCCCAGCCTTCTTTTTTTGTGTGTGGTGTTGCCAAGTTTTCCAGGTTTGACTCAAACTTGTGATCCTCCTACCTCAGCCTCTCTATTTGCTGGGATTACAGGTATGTGCCACCATGCTCAACCCAGAGCTCTTAAACTTAAAAAAAAAAATGGGTTTCCTAGTATAATATTATGATATATATTTTGGGGTTTTTATCCACAGTTCCTGACTTATAACTCCCTTCTCAAGGCAGGCCACAGAAACTAGACTATCTCTCTCCCAAGGTGAGTCATAGAGACTCTAATCTTCCAACTAACTAGGAACTGCTGAACATACAAATAAATTCTCTGATATACCTTGTCTGATAGTAGATGATGAGACCCCCATTTCAGAAGGGGTCCTGTCCCATACCCACAAGGAAGGAATGCTGAAGAATATGAATACACACACCTTGCTGGTTTTCTCCACTCAGTCTATTAGCATTAGATCATATCTTTTTTGTCCAATCACATATTAACATAGTTATCCATGCTTTAATCATGCCAATGCAATAAAGTCTCCATAAGAACCCAAAAGACAGTGTGTGTAGAACTTCCCAACAGCTGAATACATGAAGTTCCAAAGGGTAGTACAACAGGAGAGGACATGGAAGCTCCATGCCCCTTTCCCCCCCATCTTACCTTATGTATTTCTTTATCTGTATCATTTGTAATACCCTTTATAATAAACCAGTAAATGTTAAGTGTTTCCCTAAGTCTGTGAGTCATTCAAGAAAATTAATCAACACCAAGGAGGGGATTGTAGGAACCCAACCACCAGGCAGTTGGAAGCACAGGTAAACAACTTGAGGTATCTGACTAAAATCTGAACAGAAGGGTGCAATCTTGGGAACTGAGCCCTCAACCTGTAGGGTCTGATGCTATATCCAGATACACAATGTCAGAATCAAAATAAAGGACATCTCACTGGTGTCTGTTGCAGAACTGCTTGCTTGCTGGTGGACAGAAAACCTACACCATGTAGATCACAGAAGTGATCTATGTTGTGAGTGTACAGGAGACTGAATCATTTTTTTTCTACTCACCATCATATGCTCTTTCAAATTAACAGCAACAACTCCATCAATGCCCACAATAGATATAGCTAAATTTAGATTGAGYTGGAAGTCATTTACAACAAAAATGTTACTAAATCTTTGACAATCCAAGAGAGAACATTTTTTTCTTTGTTTTGTTGTTTTTGAGCTGGGTATCTCACTATGTTGGCCAAGTTGGTCCCAAATTCATGGGTTCAAATGATTCTCATACCTCAGCTTCCAAAGTAGTTAGGACTTACAAATATGCATCACTGCACCCAGATCTTATTTTAGTGATAACTGTTAACCTTATTGAGTAACTATGTGCCAGAAAATATACTAAACATTTTACATGCATGATCTCTTGTAATCCTTGCAACCATGCTCTGTGTTAGATATTACTGGGAAACCAAAGCTTCAAAAAGCTAAGTAACTTCCCTCTGTCTCTGAGCTATGATCCCAGCCTGAAAGGTAGGTATATAAAGAGAACAAAAGTAATTGACATCCACACACCAAGAAACAACATTTCTTCCCCAAAATGAACAAAGATCTTCAGATTGCCCTTATATAATGTTCAGATAGATTATATTAATAACTAGACAAATAACTAGACAAAATTTAYGATGCAGTTTCCAGGTAAGGACCACATTGTGATAGAGTCTGTATGTTTATGACATTCCACTGAATTTCTTAAAATAGTCATATCATTTAGTCATTTACTCCATAAATATTAGAATGCTATCACATGCCAGACTGAGGAAATGAWAACAAGACAGACATGATCCCTGTTGTCCCGAAGGATAGTTTCATGAATATGATATCAATCTATATTTAAAAAACAATATCAGAGAAAGAAAATCCAAGGTAACCTTCTTTTAAGGTACAAAACACAACAATCAAAATAGTATTTCAGTCAGGCACAGTGGCAGACACTTGTAATCCCAGAAGCTCTGGAGGGTGAGCCAGGAGGATTGTGAGTTCAAAGCACCTCAGCAAAAGCGAGGTGCCAAGCAACTCAGTGAGACCCTGTCTACATAAAATACAAAAGAGATCTGAGGATTTAGCACAGGTAGAGCAATCCCCCAGTACTCCCTCCAAAAAAATAGTATTTCACATTAAACTAGTGAGTGGATGTGCCTAGGACAAGCTCCTTCTTCAGACTGACCCATGCAGAGGCATAACCCTCAGCTCTGCATTGATCCCCAATCAGGCAGCTGTAGCTGCCCTCCAAGGTCATGTCAGAGCAGTTTCCAGGCTGCAGAAGAACCTGAAGAGCTATTGGACAGAACTGCACTTTAGCAATAATGGAAATGGGAGCAGTGCTTCAGTTTCAGTTTTTGTTTATAATGATGACATGGAAAAAAAACTGCCAGGTGCCCAGCACGAATCTGGGATGCAGTAGTTCCAAGAGTTCTCAATGTGACAGCCATCTCACTCATAGGCACCACTAGATACAAATAGAGCTTCTGAAACAGACACCCTTAGCATTAGAGAAAACAACAGCTCTCAGTCCAAGAAAGATGTYATTAAGGAAAGAAGCTGGAAGATCTTGAAGAAAAACTTGGATTGAATAAATGGCTGATCAAGTCATCTAAAAAATATAYCTCCCCAAGGAGTTCCTCCTTAAATACCAGAAGTACACATCTAYTCTCAGTATGAGAAACACCACACTAAAGAGAAAGGAGCATCTTCTTGGTGAAATTTCTAAAGGTTTTTCATCTCTGCTGCTCTTTCCTCCACTGGCCATTGGCTCAGGAACTATGTTAGAAGGCATATAACAGCCTCCACCAGCATCTTTTGATAAATAATTAGATCTGACTATGTTCATACAGTGTGGATATATAGCTGAGCATCTGACAGCTAACTGAAGACCTAACATGATCCTTGGATTGTTGTTCAACCTATGTTTATTTGTTCTGTAAATGCTGTATTCCTAATATAGTAGATTGAAAGAACAGACATTAAACTATTATTACAAACCTGTGGAATCAATCAATAAGTGTGTGTCAGACTGATTCATAGCTACTATAACAATTTAGTGTTGAATTTTCTTTAGATRCTAGGGAAAAATAAATACCTAATGTAAATAATTATACTAAACCAGTCATGATGTATGTAGTATTTTCAAAATTACCTATAACTTGGGCTGGGGTTGTGGCTCAGTGCCAGAGTGCTTGCCTTGCATATGTGAGGCACTGGGTTCAATCCTCAGCACCACATAAAATAAAATAAAGATGTTGTGTTCGCCGAAAACTGAAAAATAAATATTAAAAAATTCTCTCTCTCTTTAATAAATAAATAAACAAAATATATTGTACCCATGTATAACTAAAAAAGTATTTTTTAAAAATTACCTATAACTTTAATTCACCTAAAACACTTTGTTTCCAAAGAATGAATAACACTGATATTAAAATCACTACATTAAGAGGTTTATCCAAAATATTGTGGTCTTATATTCATCAACTGTAGAAAATACTGTTTAATTTACATGGTTGCAGGGTATCTTACTAAAGACTACAATTAACTATGCTAATAGTTATTAATAATATAAATAAAAGTCCAGCTACAAATTATGCTGTAGCTAAGTGTGGTGGTGCATGCCTATAATCCTAGCTACTCAGAAGAGTAAGACAGGAGAATTGGAAGTTCAAGGCCAGTCTTAGCAACTTAACAAGACACTGTCTCAAAATAAAAAATAAAAAGGGCTGGGTATATAGTTCAATGTTACAGCACCGCTGGTTCAATCCCCAGTACCAGGGTAGGGAGTAGAAAAAACATCCACTTCTATATAGTTCATACACTAAACTGATTTTGTTTTTGCAGTATAAAAAATTCAACTTCTGATTGTTAAGWAATCATTTGGATGATCAGTTTTATGTCAAAGGCACCTACTTAATATCTTTTTTTTTTCCCCCTGTATTAAGGACCAAACCCAGGAGTACTCCACCTCTGAGYTTCATTACCACCTTTGTTTGTTTGTTTTAATTTTGAAACAAGGTCTAAGTTGCCCAGGTTGGCCCCAAATTCTCCTGCCTCAGCCTTCCAAGTTGCTGGGATTACAAGTGTGTACCACTGTGCCTACTTTTTCTTGGTATATTTTACTGTTCATCACTCTGGATTATTGGATTTAATTTTATCACTCGCATTCAACTTYTGTGTGCTCTTAAAATCATCTTTATTCTAAGCAAACTGTATCCACTTTCAAAGAATGGAAATAGAAAAAAAATATTTTTTGCCAAATTAAAAAAAAATTCAGATCAATGATCTCATTTAAGATTCATACAAACATGGAAAGTATTTAGGTAAAGTAGAATTAGCCACATATTACAAACATGGAAACTGAAGAAAAAGAGGAATGAACTGGCTTATCAAAGTTGCACAGTTAATACCAGAACAAAGAATCCAAGTCTCTTGCAAAGGGCTTTATGCTAAATTATTAAGCAGGCAAAACACACAACTTAAGGCTTAGAGGATGGGAAAATAGTTCATATAACTTCAACAAATCATTAAATTAAGCAAAGACACATTTGYTAACTTACTAATGGAATGATGAAACTTTGCGTCAGCTCCAAAAAATATCGACGGAGAATCACACTTTGAGCCTCAGAAGGACGTTTCTGTTGTACACCCTTAAAAGAGGAAATAATGAGAACCTACGTTCTAGTGGYCAGAAATATAAAACACTGATAATTACCAAGTTCAACTTTGTAAACATACATTTATGTTAACATAAAAAACCTAGAACTTAATCTTCCAGTAATTTAATTTGAAGTTAATTGTGTCTTATCCTGTGAAATGAATCATTTGCAAGAAGTTGGAAGAGTAGAGGGAGGGGAGATAGAGAAAGAGTGATCCATTAGTTCTAAGTTACAGCCAGGATCAAGAAGTTCTGGTGTGCTWTACTGAACAGTAAGGTGGCTATAGATAATAATTATGTACTGGATATCTCAAAAATCCAGAAAAAAAGGAGTTTGAATGTTTTCACCATAAAAAAAAATGATGAAAAAATTGAGGATAGGTATGTTTGACCTGATTTAAGCATTAAATAATGCATACATGCATCAAAACATCACATGGCACACCACTAACATGTATAATTTTATGTTTTTGCTTCAATTAAAAAATAAATTTTATTTAAACACAAACAGAACCTTTAAAGCAAAACTTAAAGAGACTTTAGCTTAGGGAACATCCTATACTTAAAAACATCAATTCATGCTGTACACAGTGCACACCTGTAATTCCAGCTACCTGGAAGGCTGAGGCAGGGGGCCTGCAAGTTCAATGTCAGCCTCAGTAACTTAAGAGATCCTGTTTAAAAAAAAAAAAAAAAAACGGGGGAGGGGGGCACTAGGGATATAACTCTGGTAGAGCACCCCTGGGTTTGAACTCTAGTAACACACACATCAAAAAAAAAATCAGTTCATAGTGAAGAAATCTTAATTTCATATTTTCTATATTAATACTATTTACATTTAAAAACTTTATCTCCTACCATTAGATGCTGAACTACCCCTCATGGTAGAATCTATGACTTTCTTTTTACTATAACTCCCAAGTTTCTAGAAAGATTGGCACTYCTTAGTAGATACAGCTTCAATATTCAAGCTATTACTYTGACTTTTATAAAACTTTGGTTTTAAAGTGAGATTCACTGGGCTTGGTGGCACACACTTGTAATCATATCATCTCTGGAGGATGAGGTAGGAGGATTTCAAGTTTGAGGCCAGCCTCAGCAACTTAGCAAGACCTTGTCTTAAAATTAAAAAAAAAAAAAAAAATGCACTGAGGATGTAGCTCATATGTATAGCACCTGTGGGTTCAATCTCCAGTAAAAAAAAATAATAGACTCTATTTCACAAAGCATATATTGCCTAAATAGATATTACATACCAGAACAGAGACTTAATAATATGAATAAGTAATTACCTTCTGTAATTGTTTTATGATCTCTTCATCTCTATTTAGATATGSCTTATAAGAAGTATAAACTCCTAAGAAGAAAAGAAAAGAATATGGTAAAGAGAAAAATTCAACTACCAGAGAAGTATATATTTAAAACTTAATAAAAGTCAATACCATCTCTTCCTGAACAGTGCCTGAGGTGATCTGTGAAAATGGTTCTTATTCTCTTAACCCAGAAAGTCCCCCCAAAATCACACAAATCGAGARGTTCAAATCTTTATGTTCACTTTAAGAATACCTGTGAAACTGCTTAATCCATCAAGGACATGCATACATGAAAAGCCACCAAGTATTTGAAAGMAGTCACTTTAAAGAAGCAATATGTACCATTCTAGTATTACAATGGTGGAGTTGGTTGATATTGCAGGCCAAGTGAGGCTGGACATAGGGTCAGTGACCTATAATTTTTGCATTTAGAATTTAAATTAGAATAAAATTAAGTTCTTAAATAGTTAATTTCAATTAAATCCCACTTATTTTAAATAGTTAAATTTTTAAAATTTTTATTCATTTATTTTTAATTGGTTCTAATTACTTACACATGATAGAAGAATGCATTTTGACACCTTGTACACAAATGGAGCACAACTTTAAATGGTTAAATTCTTGAATTTAGAATTTTTGCAATACCTGCTTAAAATGCAGAGAGTAATGCTGAACTTACATGTCGATTCTCTGATTATTGACCATATACCAAGGTGAACAAAGCACATGAAACACACTGCCATACTTAGAGAGCTCATGGTTGGATTAATCCATACATGAGCTCCCCTTTTACACTGAAATGATCCTCCCTGAAAAGAAATAAACTGTTCCTAAACCAGAAGAGAAAGTTGCACAAAAGAAAAAGACATCCTAGAAGAAGTGGAAGAAATCAAAACTTATGGCACAGAAATAAATTCAGCATAAAATAAATATAAATAAAAGTTAAGAAAAGAAAAAAAAGAAGTCAATACCAGGTTTTGAATCCAGAGTCTTTAGGTTCTTCAATTTTTTCACTTTAACTTGTTTAGGAATTTCACCTGAAGGAAACAGCATAAGCATCCTTATTAATGATTATAATCATACATATTACAAAACTGGAATTTTATATAATTAATGATCTAATAACTGTTAAGAGTGCTGTAAATAAAGCATTATTCTTAACATCAATTAATACTGAAGAGTTCATTCCTAATATATTAAAACTGGAAAAGAGGAACATTGGATTATTAACACTATAGAAACAATTCAGGTAAACTGTACTAAAAATAGATATTTGATCTTTGATTAATATGTATCTATCATTACTTAAATTGTTCCCTTTTTGTTACTCAATTTGTAATTTAAAATGTATGTGCAAAGTACATGAAACTAGAAAATTATGTTTCAAATAGGAATAAGATACCCTTTAAGAGCAAATGGAAGGGTAGGGGTGTAGCTCAATGGTAGAGCACTTGCTTAGCAGGCACAAGGTTCTGGGGTATAATTCCTAGAACGACCACAAAAAAAAAAAAAAAAAAGTAAATAGAAAAGAGAGAAACTCCAAAGTGACCAAGCAGATATAATATTCAAAAGTTTTATTTTTTGTTATTTCCAGAACGTCCATCTTTGGACTATAGAAACTTACACTGTCATCAAGTGATAAGAGTGTGTGCAACCACCACAAGTCTGAGCCACAGATCACAGAGCTGAGACGGCTGCTGTGTCGAATAGTATAGTACAGGTAATGGCCYTGATCTTGTGGTCAAAGGAAGCCATAACCTAAACAACCCATATAATAGGCAGAAAACAAAATGCCTCTAGGATCACACTTAAAAGTGTCACGAACAGGGCTAGGGTTGTGGATCAGTGGTASAGTGCTTGCCTAGCATATGTGAGGTACTGGGTTTGATCCTCAGCACCACACACAAAGAGAAAAAATAAAGTTATTATTTTTTTAAAAAGGGTCATGAACATACATGTTTTAAAAAACATTTTTTTCCTATTTTCTGCCCTCCCTCTCGTTGCTAAAGAGTAAAAGAAACTAAAGATTGAAAAAAAAAATCTAAAAACTATCTAATCCAAGCATCTAAATTTAGAAAATATCTTTCTTTAAACATTACATAGATCAAACAGGTAAATGTGCTATATACAGGGGTGGGATTGTTGCAATAAGGAACACTTTCACTGGCAATCTTATATTGTTAAAAAAAAATTTTAAGAGTATGTTCTATGGTAAAACAGATATTTTAATAATCTTTTTACCCTGAAATAATTTCAATCTTACAGAAAAGTTGAAAAACAATTCAATCTATACTCCAATTTTTCCAGCTGCCCAGATAACTTTAAACAGATACATGTTAAGAAAATCACAGATTTGCATTATTTTTCCATTGATCCAGTAAATAATGCAAGCGACATGTAATACAGTCATAAAACAACTAAATCCTGATACCAAGAGGCTCATAGTCTAATAGAAAAATATGACAAATAAACATAACAATTCAGAGGAATACATGCTAGGGTAGAATTATAAATAAGAGACCATGGAAAAAGAGTTTCCTGTACAAAGGAGTGAGAAAATTATTGAGGGTTCCTAGAGGAAGTAACATATAAGCAGTCTTACAAGAGAAATAAAAAAAAATCTGTATGTAAATGGGGGAAAACAACTTTCAAATAAATAGTTAAATAAAGAAGCATGAAGAACATGCTGCTCAAAGAGTTGTGGTAAATGGTAAGGAGATTAATAATCGCTATTTACTAAATTCTTATTCTGTGCCAGTCTCTGCTCTGGGAAAACTGCACAAATTACTGATTTTAATTTTCAAAATAAAAGTGTGTTTATGATACCTATTTTATTTTGTTTTTTAATTTTTAATTATTTTAATTATTATTCTTTTTTTATTGTTGGTAGTTCAAAACATTACATCTATTTTGATAAATTTCACAGTTTGATTCAAAAGGGTTATGAACTCCCATTTTTACCCCGTATACAGATTGCTGAATCACATCAGTTACATCAATTACATTTCCATTGATTTACATATTGCCATTCTAGTGTCTGATGAATTCTGCTCTCTATCCTATTCTCTACTA